CATTGAAAGCTCCTCTTTGAAATCTTTTAGTTTTGTGCTTGATTCCCCCGTGTATATTGACTATATCCTTAGCATCTCAGCTGAAAAACTTGAAGACATACTTGTTCACTTGGATCTTCATAACTGTGTCAAGAATTTGGTCAATATTTTTGCTCCAAATCTTAAGTATTTGAAATTGTCAGGGGATGATGTATGGATTGGCCAAAGTTTGGGGAAATCTACGTCTTTAGAAAAAGCCGAGTTTTTTCTGGAATCTAATCGCCGTTGCTTTAAAATATTGTCCGAGGTTCTCTGCAGTATAAACAAGGTTGAAACTCTTGTTCTAAACAGAGAGACCACCATGGTAACTAGACACTACTCTTCAAGATGTTCTTTTTATTTAATGGTTTTTGTTTTTTCAATTTTGTCTTGTTTAGGTTATATTCTTTCCCAGCATGGCAGTAGGGGTACGTTAATTTCAGAACACTGATGGCATTAAGATTTGGTTATATTTTTTATTAATTTTGGTTATACTGGCTAGAATGAAATTTCATGTTGATGTTTCTTGTTTGTTTTAGAATTGTCTGTCTGAAACTTTGTAATAGTACTTTGACAGATCAAGTACTTCAAAAACCATGATAGTTTCAACTTTTAGTTAGTAATGACTATTTCATCGACTTATTTTCTCAAATATGTTGCAGGTAGTTCTTTTCTTAATTAATGTTCATAATTCTTGTCTTTCGGTTCCCTTATGTTTATGTTTATAACTTCTAGGCTGTCTTCTATGGAGATTTCATGCCACTGCTATTAGAGAATGTTTGTTATTTGTCTATTCATGTTGGAAGCTTTCGTGATATGCTAGTCCCAGGAATGGTCTCCACTTTTGAAGGAATGTGTAATTTGAGTACTCTGGAAATAAAGTCTGACCCAGAATTCTTTGAACCTAAAACTGATGTAAGTGAAAGTGTTGCCTATTTCTTTCCCCCTCTCTTTCATGATTAGTTCTTTTTGGGTGCGGAAATTTCAACTGATTTGCTTGTTGATTGTTGCCTTTCCTGCAGTGTTCTGGGTTTAATATGGGATATTGGAGATTGCAAAACATTTCTTTTATTCATAAACTTAAGGAAGTAACCATAGAGCTTTCCATTGGATCTAATGGAATTCAGTTTGCAAAATATGTGCTCGAGCATGCTCAGAATTTGAAGAAAATGACAGTTTTTCATGCACCTCAGCAGTCGAAAGCTGTAAGGAAGATAACAAAAAGCAAGATTGCTTCCAGTGCCAAACTTGTCTTTTTGGAGGATAGAGAAAGAGGTTGATAATCATAATCTGAACAGCTCACCAGATGAAGGGTCGTCAAGGGTTGTCTCCCCAAACTTCCAGAGAGCTCAATTAGATCAACTGTCTTCTCTATGCTGTTCAATGTTTTGTTTGAATCTGAGTGTACGTGTTATTTTCGTTTAACTCAACTGTGTACTGACTGATAATCCTAGATCATATGTGCTTTTTTTTGAAGTTACAGGTAAACTGCGTAGAGGTTCCCCCAATATTTTAAGAGCCACATAATTTGGTAGATTACGTGAAACTTATGGTTTTTGATTTTTTTAGTAGCTGCTTTTTGTTGCTAGCCTGTTTGGCTGTTTCGATTGCCAACCAACTCAGAAATTCTATCCCTGGAAATATGTTAAATCAATTCCATGGACAATCCAATATTAGTGCACATGATGGATTTTCAGGGGATGATAATTTACTTAAGAACAGAGTGAATGGTTTTGATGAATAGTTTGTTCATTTGTAACTTATCTTTTTCTACTTTTTCTAATTTTTTTATAAACTTGTTTTTAACATTTACAATAAAGATTTGTATTGTTATTTATGGATTTTAAAGCATAAATTTTTTTGCAAACTTTAGCATATAAATATTTGTTACATATTAATAGAAAAAAAAAAAAAGTAAAAGAATGCAAGATTCAAATCTTCAGCTAATAGGAAGAAAATTGAACCAACTTTCTTTTGGTCTGAATAGGATTGGTGAGTTGGTGGTGTCACATGCATTTTCCGAAAATATGAACTTCAATAGAAGGAAACATCAAAGGACTACACACTAAACCGAAGCGCAAAATCACTCTTAAATCACCTCGTGCACTCCTTATTTGTGAGTCATAGACGAGTGTCAGACGTGAGATTGGGCGTGTCAAAAATCTTCCCCTAAACAAAACCCCACAAAGCCAGCCAAGCACCATTCTCCAATTTATATAAGACCCAGTTTGGCTGAAGCATCCTCCTGCTAGCTAGAGTAAGGGTGCATCAATGGTGGTAAGTGCTAGTATCAAACCAACCTACTTGTCTTTATTTAATTCAGTGTACAAATGAATATAATTGATGTTTTAGTATTTAATTTCCCTTGTCTTGTAGGTTTGTAGTATATGAATTGAAACCAACTTCTCTGAAAAACACAGCAACACAGAAATAATTAGTCTCATGGAACCCAAGCCTAAGTTACTTGCCACTGCCAGTTGCCGAGGTCAAGGAGTTCAGGCTGAGAGTATGATGTTAGACAGACTTAGTCATCTTCCAGACGAAGTTACCCATCACATTCTTTCCTTCCTTGACCTAACAGACGTAATTCGTGTTGGCTGTGTGTCCAAGAGATGCAGAGAATTTTATCTCTCAACTCAGTCACTGAAGTTTGATCTTGAGGAACTTTCGGATATGAACATTTCCACCTGTAGTAAGCGGTTGGAGTTGATGCGTTCTTTGGACAGGTTCCTGTTTCATCGCAGGGATAATAAGATAGAGAGCTGTCGTATTAACTGGCTTCTCCATAACTTCGATATTGATAACTGCTTTTGTGATGAGACTTTCCGGGTCATGATGTGGATCTACAATGCTGTAAGATGCAATGTTGAAGAGCTTCATCTAAGCATCTGTGAATATAAAGGGAAACCACTGTTAGCACTTCTGTCTTTCATCTTTCTTTGTGAATCTCTGCGGTCTCTAAAGGTGGACTTTAAGTGTAAGATTCTTAAAGCACCCCCTGCTCGCTTCTTTATCGAATCTCGAAAGCTTGATCCTGGCACATGTTAATGTAGAAGATGAGGGGTTTTTCAAATGGATATCACGTTCCTGCAAATCCCTAAAGCTGTTACATCTTGATAGCTGTGATGGGATGCAAAACATGGCCATTGAAAGCTCGTCTTTGGAAACATTGATTTTTGTGCATCCCGGTTTGAGGATTGGCTGCGAAATTAACATCTCAATCTCAGGAGAGAAACTTGGTTACTTACAACTGTATTGGAGACGTTGGTCTCAGGCCATAAAGTTGTTGTATCTTTTTGCTCCAAACCTTAAATATATGGTTTGGTGGGGAAATTTGTTGTTTCCCCAGAATCTGAGGAATTCGATGTGTTTAGATAGAGAGAGTTGATCTTCTTCTGTCGCCTGAATCCAGAGTAGATTTTTACTACCTATTTGAGGTTCTATGCAGCATGAGTAGGATTCATTGTCTTATTCTACATAAAGAGACAACCAAGGTAAAGAGACGCTACCTTCAGGTTTATTCAATTGTTTCAAACTTGATTTTGATAATATATGATTGCATATAGTTTTCTTGGTTCAGAAAATGTGGATGCATTGCGTATAGTTTTGATTATTGTTCTTGCAGGATTTTTATGTTCTAAAAGAGAGAAATATTTAAATACTAATTATTCACTGAGTAAATAATAATTAAAACATAACTACTAATTAAAGTAATTAAAAGGGAGAGATTCAGACAATGCTATCCAATGGGTATAGCCGCGCGGCTATACTGTTGAAATATTCTATTTACAGAGTATGGCCTGGGCCGGTCTTTTTTTGTTTTTTTGTTTTTTTAATAGGATAGCCGGGCGGCTTTACTGGGTCGTTTTTTAAATTCTTTTTTATAAATCGTATAGCCGATTGGCTATACTCCGGATTTTTTTATTATAAAAAACCAGTATAGCCGGACGCTTTACTGGGTCCTTTTTAAAAAAAATTCTTTTTTATAAATAATATAGCCGAGCGGCTATACTACCTAGATACAGTGCTATTTTTTTTAAAATTGTTTTTCCGCAATTTTTGTTTATCGATAAGAGTAGTTTAGAGTATTATCCATTATTATTAGGCCATTACCTGAATCTCTATTGTCCCGTATTGAGTTTTTACTTTTCCAGAGTTATTGATCATAGGGGTGTTTTCGGTGCGGTAACCGCACCGAAACAAAGAAACCGTTTACCGGTCGACTACCTGCGGTTTAGCCAAAATCCAAACCAACGCCGCACCGCACAAAGACGGTTACCGGAGCTGCCGGTTACCGTGGGTAGCTGCGGTATCGGTCGGTTACCAAACCTGGAATAACAAACCTGCAAAAAAAAAAAAGTAGAGAAAGAGAGAGAAATAACCTTGATTCATCACAAACACAAAGAAGGAGGGAGAGAGAAATTTAAAAAATAAAACCAAACTTAGTTATTAACCTAAGAACCAGAGAGGAAATAGAGAAAGGAAGGGGGGAGATAGAGATGAGTTAAAGAGAGAGGGGAAGAAGAAGATAAGGAAGAAGGCTCGTGGTTTTTTGTTTTCTTGGGCAGTGAACGGTGAAAGGAAACCTTGGCATTTATTAACACCCATTTAAAATATTAAAAAATCCCATGACAATCAAAAGTTGTTAATATTTAGAATTTAAAATTAATTACATCAACCCCATTTGCCCATTTCCCCACTAGAATATTAAAATATTGTATAGAATATCAAGGGAGGGAGAAGAAAATGTAACGGCAAAGAGAAACATTTCTCTCTCCTTTTTATTTTTACCTTCTTCTTCACTTTTCTTTCCTGCTATCTTTTCTCTCTGTTTCTCATTTTCTTTTTGTTCTGCGTTTCTCTCTTTTCTTTCTTTTTTTCTTTTTCTTCCTCTTTCGTTGCTTCTCTCTTCTCTCTATTTCTCTTCTTCTCCTCTTTTTGGCCTGGCTTGGTGGGGTTTTTGGCCTCCTGTTTCTCAGATTCAAGGGGAAGATGAGGAAAGGAGGAAATTCAGAGACGACTAGGGTTCGAATTTGAAGGGAATGAAATGAAATGAGGGAGAGTCGATCTCAACCTCTAGTTTCTTCGGCCAGGTGTATTAAAAATATATTTTAATATATATATGTATATATATATATCGGTCGGTTGCGGTTGCCGACGGCTTTGGTATCCTGCAACCGCATCCGCATCCGCCGTATTTCGGCTCGGTCGTCCAACAGCAACCGGTCATTGACCGGAAAAGTCAACGGTTTGCCGATCGGAAACCGCCGGTTTCCGGTATTTGCGGTCCAACCGCACAGCACTACTTTTTAAAAAAAATTCTTTTTTATAAATAATATAGCCGAGCGGCTATACTACCTAGATACAGTGCTATTTTTTTTAAAATTGTTTTTCCGCAATTTTTGTTTATCGATAAGAGTAGTTTAGAGTATTATCCATTATTATTAGGCCATTACCCGAGTCTCTATTGTCCCGTATTGAGTTTTTACTTTTCCAGAGTTATTGATCATATAAAGCATTTAGCACTTTCACATGTAATACTCGTATTGTACACGTACGTATGTATTTTTCATGTTTAATACACTTGTTTATAACAAAATTTTCAATAATACACACAAAATTCACGTATTATTGAATAAAAATAAAATATATTTAAATATTTAAATACTAATTATTTACTGAGTAAATAATAATTAAAACATAACTACTAATTAAAGTAATTAAAAGAGAGAAATTCAGAAAATGCTATTCAACGGGTACTTTAAAAAATATTCTATTTATAGAGTAAAGCTGAACGGCTACGTGTTTGAAATCTTCAATTTATAGAGTATAGCCGGCAATACTCGTTTCCCCAAACACGTGCGAGGCGCTGGGCTGGTCTTTTTTTTTTTCATAAATAGTATAGCCGGGCGGCTATACTTCCGATTTTTTTATTTATAAAAAAAGCGTATATCCGCGCAGCTTTACGGGGTCTCTTTTTTAAATTGTTTTTTTTATAAAAAGTATTAGCCGTATAAAAAATTTAGCACTTTCACATTTAATACTCGTATTGTGTATGAACATACGTATTTTTCATGTTTAATACACTTATTTTTTTACAACATTTTCAATAATACACACAAAATTCACGTATTATTCATAAAATACTCACATATTATTGAATAAAAATAAAATATTTTTAAATATTTAAATACTAATTATTCACTAAGTAAATCATAATTAAAACATAATTAAAAGAGAGAAATTCAGAAAATTCTATTCAATGGATATAGCCGATCGGCTATACCATTTAAAAAATTTATTTATAGAGATACTTTTGAAATAGTCTGTTTATGGAGTATAGCTGCTCGGCTATACGCTTTTCACCAAAACACTAGCAAAGCGCTGGGTGGGTCTTGTTTTTTATTTTTATTTTGTTTTTAAAAACGTGTAGCCGTGCGGCTATACTCCGGATTTTTTTTTATATAAAAAACGTATAGCCGGGCGGCTTTATGTGGACCTTTTTTTTAATTTATAAATAGTATATTCTTTACCTAGGTACGGTGATTTTTTTAAAAAAATTATTTTTCCACAATTTTTGTTTATCAATAAGAGTAGTTTAGAGCATTATCCATTACTAGGAGGCCATACTTATTTTTAGGCTATGCACAAAAAAATAGGTACAATATTTAGGTAACAAAAAAATAGGTATGTTATATATAGGTACACAAAATTGGTACAGTATTTAGGTAACAAATAAATCGGAATTTTATTTATAGGTACATAAAATAGGCACATGTAGAGTTACAAAAGATATGTAGATTATTAAAAAAAAATAAAAATAGGCACATTAGTTTATGTTAAAACGTGATAGGTATAACCAAGGTGGTTGGTGTAAGTGGTTCGGCACTCTCATTCCTTAAGAGAGGTCAGGGGTTCGATCCCTGCTCTCGTATGAAGTCACCACTTTGGCCAGCACTTTACCCCTTACGGGCCGACCCGGTGTGAGCGGGGATTAGTCTGGATTGTGGTTAAGGCTTAAAGGTGCCACCCATAGTTTATAGGTACATAAAATAGGCACATGTAGAGTTACAAAAGATATGTACATTATTCAAAAAAAAAATAAAAAATAGGCGCATTAGTTTATGTTAAAACGTGATAGGTATATTATATGTTTCTTCATAGATTCAATAGGCTCAAAACGTGACTTGCTTAAACTTACCCTAAAAAATTCCTAAATTTAAGCAAATTTAAAACACCATTTGATGTTTTAGTTTCCGATCAAATGTAATCCTTTCCTATCATTAATAATATATCATCGTTTCATTTCAACAAAACACCATTTGAATATTAATGACAATTGCATCAAATATGTTCAAAGTATATTCAGAACAATCAATTGAGAAAACAACAATTGCAAAGACATGGGGATATTTTGGCCATCTAAAAATTATAATAAATTAAACCTTGAGCTTGATAAGGTAACTTGATGAGTTGGATCTTAGTAATGGGTTTTTATTTATAAAAAAATAGATTTTATTAATAGGAACAAAAAGTGATGGGTTGCAGTTAAGGAAAAAGTGATAGATTTCATTGATTCATATTTGCTAACGTAAATATTTTTTAAAGTTTTTCTACTTATTTCAATAATTTATAAACTTCTTCTTAACGTTTATGTTCAAGATTTGTACTGTTATTATAGATTTCAAACAATAACAAATTCCCAACTTTGATATATAATTTTTTACTTTCTAAGACCACGAAAAAGAAGAAACTTTCTATATGTTATATACATTATCAAGATGCTCGCCCACATCAATTTTGATGTCTCAACTATTAATTTAACAAATCGAGTACTCTTAGTCAAAGTCGAAACTATTTGTCTGAATTGATAAGCTTTGTGTTGTCACATTTTCAATAGTTTTGTTTTGATGCACATTTTTTGTAGCTCTTCACACAAAGGATCTTTTGACACACTTTGAGAAAACATAATAGGAAACAACAAGAGCTACATTGAAATCAAATGAAGTGCCAATGCAAGTGTTGAGAGAGATAGAGAAAGTTATAAGGTACATTTTACTTTCACATTTTGAGAAAACGGTACAAGAAACAACAAAAATTATACACTGAAAACCAAGTGCCAATACAAGTAATGAGAGAGAGGAGTGACATAAATGAGTTGCAGGTACGTTTCACTCCCATACTTCGAGAAAACAATAAGGAAACATCAAGAACCATACACTAAAATCAAGTGTCAAGTCAATACACGTGAT